AAGAGGTGGAAGGAGGAGGAGAAGAAGTAGGAGGAGGAGGAAGAAGAAGAGGGAGAAGAGGAGGAGGATGAAGGGAAGGAGGAGGAGGAGGACGAGGTAAAGGTGAGGAAGGCGTGAAAGGAGGAGGTGGTGGTGGAGGAGGAGGAGGTGGAAGGGGGGAATCAAGAAGGAATAAAAAAAGGCAAAGGATTGTCTTGATGTTTGTTTTTGTTGTCTTTGTGTGTTTGTCATTGTCTTGCCGACGAAGTTGGTTGTGTTATCATTGTTTTTGTTAAGATTATTGGACTTTCTTGTTTATCATCGCAATTATTATTATTTTGATGATTATTATCATTGTTATCACATCCAAATCATTATCATCATCATAATTGCCATTATTATCATCATCATTGTCATTATCATCATCCTTACCACTATCGTCATCATTATCATTATCTTTGTCATTATCATCATCATTATCGCTATTATCATCATTTTTTCCTATCGTATTATCATTATTTCAGTCTATATTATTATTGTCTGTATTAATGTTATTATCATCACAGCTTATCCCATTTTATCATCATCATCATCATCATCCTAATCCTAATCCTGATTATCGTCATCGCCATCACCACCACCATCGTCATCATCCTCATCCTCACCATTACCCTCATCTTCACCATCATCATCATCACCCACATCTTCACCCTCATCTTCACCATCATCCTCATCATCATCATCATCTGAGCTATTATCTACAGCTTCACTATTCTCTTTCCACTGTCATAATTTACTTTCCATTGATATGTCAAACTTTTTTATCAGTGTTGCAGTCGCAATGGCTATAATTACTGTCATTTGCTGTTGTTGTTAGCAAAAATAGTTTGAATTTGTTGGCAAAGTTAATGGATGTTATTATCGAAATCTGTGTTATTGTGATGTCTCATTTAAATATCTTTTTTATCTTAATCTCGTCGTTTCGTAGAATATTAATGCATGGATTTCATTACGACTATTTTTTTATTTATTTTTTATCATTAATGACATAATGATAAAACCATCATTAGGAGATATTGTAAGACACACTATTTTTTAATGGATGTATTAAGTCTCAATAAAAAATGAGAAGAGAAAATAGAAACAGAACGAGAGCGAGAGGGGGGGGGGGAGGAGGGAGGGAAGGAGAAGAAGGGAGCGAGGGAATAGGGGAGGAGGGAGGGAGGGAAGGAGGGTTGTAGGGAGGGAGCGAGGGAATGAGGGACGGAAGGAAGGGAGGGAGATAGGGAGCGAGAGAATGAAGCAGGGATGTAGGAAGGAAGGGAGCGAGGGAATGAAGGAGAGAGAAAGGGAAGAAGGGAGGGAGGGGTAGAGGGAGCGAGGGAATGAGGGAATGAAAGGAAGGAAAGAAGGCAGGTTGGTAGGAGAATAGCAAGGTAGGAAAGATAGATAGATAGAGAGAGAGAGAGAGAGAGAGGCGGGAAGAGAGAAGGAGAGAGAGAGAGAGAGAGAGAGAGAGAGAGAGAGAGAGAGAGAGAGAGAGAGAGAGAGAGAGAGAGAGAGAGAGAGAGAGAGAGAGAGAGAGAGAGAGACATAAATTTATACAAACTGAAATCTAAAAAAAAAAAAGAAAAAAAATCTTAAAAAAAAACTAAAAAGAAGAAAAAAAAACTGATTTTCACTTCATTAATGTTCCGCGACACCTTCCCGGAAAAGATAATTGCCGTGGACACCTGATAACACCTTTAAAGAAACACCCTCACCCACCCCCTACTGCAGACACGCCGGTTCGATCCATAATGCACAAGCAACCGGAGTCGAGAAGGAGCACTGTGGGTATGAATGACCAAGGTGTACATGCAGAGAGACACATGTAGGTGTGAATATGCGTGTAGGAAGAAGTGGGAAGTGAGGGTTGTAGGAGGGGGAAGAGGGAAGTAAGGGTTATGTGTATATACGTTTGGGAATAGATAGAAGCTGTAGCGTGTACGTTTAGAAGGTGGATTTGCTGTGCATATATATATGTGTGTGTGTGTGTTTGTGTGTATCTGAGATTGACAATTAATTACTGGATTTGATGCGGTTACGGGCACACAGACATATCTATTTATTTAGTGAATGTTTGTAGAAGGAGGGAGGCTGTGTGTTGTGTTTGTATATTTAGATGTATTCATGTAAGCGCGTGATTATGTGCATGCATGTATGTATGTCTACCCCAAGTACATGGCGAGAGAAGCCATGCCTTTATGAATACGAAATGAAATCGAATCTCTTACTTAACAAAAATGAAATAAGTAATAATGATAAGTTGGAGGAGGAGGAGAAAAAGAAGGAGGAGGAGAAGGAGAAGAGGGAGAAGGAGGAGGAGGAGAAGAAGAAAAATGAGGAGGAGGAGAATGAGAAAGAAAAGGAAAAGAAGAAAAAGGAGAATGAACCTTCCTTGTTCTGACAGGTATCCATCAAACTCGAACTTTACAAATTCTTTTTCGCCCACAGATGTACACAGGGACGGGTGTGCTATCCCAGTTCGTTAACCTGCACGTGAACACACCACGTGCAGTCGTGCTCGGACCTCAGGAGCTGCACGTGCAAGAGGGAGACACCATAACACTCGTCTGTGTCATACAACAGGTACGTCATGAGGAAAGCGGGAAGTATGGTGTGTGTGTGTGTGTGTGTGTGTGTGTGTGTGTGTGTGTGTGTGTGCATGATACAGCGATAAACACACACACACAACGATAAACAACACACACACACACATACAATACACACACAACACACACACACACACATACATACACAAACACACACATTAACACGTAACCCCCCCCCCCACACACACAACACACATTCACACACAAACAAAACAACCCCGCCCCCCTTCCTTCATACACACAGATCATACAACCTACACGCCTCCAACAGAATCGTAATTTCCCCATCAATTCTCGATCTCAGACACCCAGTGGAATAAAACCCATTCGCTACATTCCAAACGCCGCCGTGACTTTTGCACCAAGCCAGTACCTCCAACTCGGCAACAGGAATGAGTGACAAACTGGGAATTTTGCAACACGGAATTCCCACCCCTTCTGCTAAATGCTGACTGACGCGTGTGCTACTGAACTAATACAATTACAGAGTCGCGGCCAGGAAATACTGAAAGAGTGAAATGGACTCTTGATTTGAACTGAAAAAAGAAAGAAAAATAAAGATGAGAGAGGGAGGGAATGTGTCTCGGTGTAACGGAAATTTTGAAGAAAAAAATCATAATAGTGATTATGACATTAACGATAATAATGAGGATGGCTCTGCTGATACTACTACTACTATTAGTGCTAGTTCTTCTAGCACTACTTTAACAATATTTCTATCCCTACTTTTGCTTCTACTTCTAATGTTGCTACTACCACAACCACTATCACTGCTATTGCTACGACTGTTACTACTACTAACACTGCTACTGTTGACATAGCAACAACAATAACAACAACTACTAGTACTACTGTTACTACTATTACTACTACTACTACTACTACTACTCTACACTACCACGACTACTACTACTACTAACACTGCTACTATTACTACTATTACAACAACATCAACTATTACTACTGCTACTACAACAACTACTACAACAACAACAACAACAACAACAACTACTACTACTACTACTACTACTACTACTACTACTACTACTACTACTACTACTATACTAGGCTACTACTACTACTACTACACCAACAACTACTACTACTACTAATACTGCTATTACAACAACAATAACTGCTACTACTACCATTACTACTACTGCTGCTGCTGTTGCCAGTACTCCTATTGATAACATAGTACTGTTAACAATAATAGTAATGAAATAAGAATTTTAGTAATAATAACGTTACCAAAAATTATCTTGGTATTTTGAACAGTGATCATAGTGATGATAATGATGACAGCGATGATGATAATGATGATGATGATGACGATAATGATGATGATAATGACAGTGATGATGTTGATAACACTAATCATGATAATGATGATGAACAGTAATAAGTAAAATCATAAGCACTATTGATTGCAATATTTCATTTAAATAACGTGTGAGTTTACCTTTGCCTTCCCCTTTTCCAGAGCAAACCTCCCTTCGTGTTCTGGTACCACGGCGACCAAATGGTGAACTACGACGGCTCTCGCAACCGCCTCAACGTTATAACACAGGTTGAAGGCTCGCGGACGAACTCTCGACTCACGATCACCGACGCCAGGTAGGTCTATCGTACGGCGAAAGGTAGATCTCTTGTACGAATAAGAGGAGGTCTGTCGTAAGACGAAAGGTAGATTTATTGTACGACGAAAAGGTAGGCCTATCATGAGACGAAAAGGTGGGCCTATCGTACGACGCAAAGTAAAACTATCTTACTACGAAAAGGTAGGCCTATCGTACAACGAAAGGTTTAACTATCTTACTACGAAAGGTAGCCTATCGTACAACGAAAGGTTTAACTATCTTACTACGAAAAGGTAGGCCTATCGTACAACGAAAAAATAGGCTTATCGTACGGCGAAGAGTAGGTCTGTCGCACGCTGTGGCTTGTTCAGGACCGCTCTCATAGGTCAGCTGCGGACAAGAGGTTGGTTAACGAGAAAAATTATCGAGTGTCAGGAATGTGATCAGCGAAAGAGGTTGATGACAAGAAGATTGACGGAGATTACAGGCGCTCGGAAGAAAGGGTTTCTGAGTCATCGCTTTGGTGCAATTACAGTGATTACTCATGTACTCTGTTATCAGTGATGTTCGATGCTTGATTTCATGATTGCAATATAAGTGAATAATACAAAACACACGCATGAATACATACGATATTTTACATAGAGTATGCGAAAATCAGCGAGTAAGTGAATATATCTTCCATATATTTATTGATACACACACACACACACTCACACTCACACTCTCACACACACACACACATACACACACACAACCTTTAAGTAAGGGAACCGAAATAACAAGATTTTACTATTAGTACTAATACAAAAGAGAACAATACAACAAAACTTCGCGTTATATAATACAGGACAGAGAATTGTCATCACATTCTCAGGAAAAAGAAAAAGAAGAAAAAAACATCACGCTAGTAATACATGATACCGCTCTTCGTGCTGGTGTATTTTTAGTTTTATTGTTATTTTTTCTCTCTCTCTCTCTCTTTTGTCGTTGATGCGGTTTTTCCTCCCTTTTTCCCCCACTTTTCTGTTTTTTTTTTTTTGGTTCTTTCGTTTCGTGTTCCTTTAACATGCACGGGGCATTCCAGACACGATCGTGGAGGTTATCCTGTTTTGTGGGAAAATGCCAAGAGTATTAGGTTTTAGCTATATCAGTGTATTGCTTATTTATTGATATTAAATGTCGATTATTTGTTGTAAGTCGTGGTAAGATTATACATATGGTCATTTTAAGATTCATAAGTACATTCTACTAGCGTTAATAAAAGAAAGTATACTCAATACAAAATAACCGCCAAATAAAATGTATAAAAAATACTTGAGTTCCCCCAATCTAATTTGGGTATCCGGGGAAAACACTTCGTTTTCTGTGACAGCAAGTATTTTACCGACTGACATTTCGTTTTCTTTGGACAGATATACGGATTCGGGGAACTACTCTTGCCTCCCGCCCAACGTCAAGCCCGCCTACGTTCTGGTCTTCGTCAGTCAGGGTGAGTTGTGGCGTCTTAGGAAGTCTTGGAGTGAAGTGTTACTGAGTGGGATGATGGAGAGTGTGAGTGAGTAGTGAGGGAGGAGGGGTGAGAGAGAGGGAGAGCGAGCACTTTCTCTCTCTCGCTCGTTCGGTCGCTTTTACTCCCTCAATCGCCATTATACTCTTTCCCTCTCCCTCTCATTCTAGCATTCCACTCACTCACTGCTTAGGTAGTGTATCATGATATTTAGTTGCGTTCTACTTTTCCAGATTTAGTAATTTTTCATCTATGACCTAGCAATTTTATAAATGTCACAAGTTACAGAACATTTATTTTTGCTCGTTTTTATAAAACAAAACTTGGTAGATTTTGCCAATCAGTCTTCAAAGCCAGTAAAACTTTGTGGTAAATATGCTTCATGATTAATATCGCAGCAAAAGTTTCCCCCCATTGTTCGAGAATACAGATTCCCAGTAAAACTTTGACCATTGCTCCAAAGGTATTAACAGCCGTGCCATGATTTCATATAGATACATACATACATGCATATATGTGTTTCTGGATTATCAATAACTTGATGGACCAGTTTTCTAATATCAACACATGGACGGTACTAAACTAAGACGTTATGTACAACAGTCCCAACATGTACTTTCACTCTCCACCACCATTCAAAATCAACAGGGTGACGATCTTACTTGTAGCAATACTAAACCAATTAAGAACAGTCGAAACAGCTCTAGAGATACTTGTTCATTTCTCCTATTTCAATCTCGCTTAAATGAACATCAGTATCCGGCCGTTAGTGTTTGATTTCGAATATTGATCTTTATCACAACTCCCTTGCGGCTGTACTATGCTAACACTATAGGGCCTGTGTTGTGATTGTCTAGGGTAATTTATCGTTGATTTCAATATTTATCATTTCCTTAGCATTTCTCAGAGACTGGATATGTAAATTGTTCTTTCGCCTGACTTCCAGACAGTAAATCATAACTAATAGCTACTGTATAAAACTATATCGACAGTACCACCATTCTTCTTTGAAAACAGTAAAGTAATGGTACCATCTTTCTCTGACACTACCATAACTAATGAGATCATGTCTCTGCGACAAAAGAAACACAACCAACTCTGCGACAATGCTAAATCAATAATACCAACCTTCTCAGGCTATACATTAAAACTTACAGCAGTCCCTATTCTTACTGAATAATTGATACTACCATGTTTTCGTAATACTAATGGTTACCAACACTCTTTCACAACCCAAGTAGAGCAGTAATATTCCAACTCTTCGCAATACAAAGCGGGTAGTACCACCATAGTTTCATAATGCACTTTCCTAACAGTATCCCTGTTTTTACAGTACTAGAAAATTATTAATGCCCTCACTCCGTCACAATACAATTTGACTAACAACAACACTTTGTCGCAATAACACCGCACTGTACTAGTAACTAGGAACTCTTTTACAACACAAGTAGACGAATCCCACTCACGCTCATCGCCATTACCAGCTAGTCCCTTGTTCGTACCAACCCCTTAAGTGCAGGGTAGTGAGTTTAACATCAACCGTCTGCCTGTTACCAATCGCCATTCTCCCTGACGCCTCCTTCCCTTGCAGCTGGAGACACGGTGGCCGCGGTGCAGAGACGAGGCCACACGTCCACGGCCCCCACGACGCTCCGCTCCGCCACCAGCGTCGCCGTCAGCTTGAGCGTCTGTGTCACCCTCTGCGTCAGCGTCTTCACCCACTTCCTTCCTACGAGATGATGGTTCCTCTCTCTCTTCCTGGCGGGTTTACTGTAAAGAAAAATTAGGTGTAGAGAGAGGAAAAGATCAGTAAAAGAGGTCTATGTATCCATCTAATTACAAAAGAAAGATATATATATGTAAATTGTACCCTCCTTCATTGTGAACGTTTTATGTATATACATATATATATATATATATATAATTACCGAGTTTTCATCCAGGTCATGTTTTGTCCCCAAAATGGGTTTATGTATTCTCCCGGTGGATGTTAAATGTGTTATGTGTTTTATGTGGTCATGAGGTCGCATGATGAAGGTTTGGTTGTCATGGTAATGGGGGGGGGGCGTGCAACATAGAGGTGTGGGTGGTGGTGGTGAGAAGGAGGGTAGGCTGTAGTTATATTCCTTTTGTAAATTATACTGTCCTTGCTCAAACTGTTAAGGAAGGCAAGATAATGATCATGGTGATATGATAATAGTAATATTAATGAAAACGAAGATAACAGGAATGGTAATGATAACATCAATCATATAACAATGATAACAGTAAACACATAATGATAATAACAACAGCAACAATAAATGCATGATAGTAATAATAACAGTAATGATAATCAGTTACGATAGAACACACCTGTGACAACACGGAATAAAAAAAAGACCTAATAAAGTTTCTGAAGTAAAACAGCAAAAGATGATGCAAATAATTAAATTGATTACTTGATAAATAAAATAATATAAACTCTGCCTTTGAAAAGAACGAACGAAAATCAGGTTAACCAAAGGACGGAGGTTGAACAGCGACTGTACAGTTAATATTGATTTTAATGATGAATAGTTAAACAAATAAAAGAAATGCGTAATAAATAATGTATGATAATATTCAAATACGATTTATGACTGACACAAAGTTCGATGAATGATCATTGGTATCAGGCGTGGTGTATTGCAAGTGAATTTATTTGATTTTATATAATTAGTTATTTCTAACGGATATATAGGCTTTGAAAATACAACAGTAAGAAATAAAAAGAAAAGATGAAGAAAGGAATATATGCATGCTTGCGAAATAAGAATAGAATAGAATGTGATAAATGAAAAAGTAAAAGCAAATCATCAAACAAAATCGTAAAAAATAGTACAAACAAAAGACGATATAGGTAAAACAGGAAAATCAAATATACAGAAGTAGCATAATAATGTTGACAGATAGCAATACCGTGAAAACAAAAGGTTAGACCCATTAACACGGAAAAAAGAGTTAATTCTGCAAATTGTTCAATGTATTTTTTAAATCCTGAATTAAAAACAGAGGTTCATATATTTTCCGGTTTTATATGTGTTAACCACTATTTACATTAATTAATTTGCATGTACTTTGTATACATTTCCGGCTTTGATGCAGTTTGGTAAAAGTAAAACGCCATAGAGATTTTGCCTCATATAGGGAGGACGGGCAATGATATTTATGTAAAATCATTTGTTATATTCTCTACAGTGTGGAAAGAAAGACAGAAAAAAATAAACACAGACATTATTTCTTTTTATATATTTGCTGAAGGTTTAAGATCTATTACAAATCAAAAATGCAAATAGAATATATTATGATTTTTATTCTAATATATCTTTACTCCCCGAATAGAGTTCCATCTTGCTTTTTCTTTCATTTGTTAAAAAAAAAAGTTTTATTGTCATATGCTATTTGATTGACATTTCTTAAGGGAAGTAGATTCAGACCTAATAGCATTTTGTTCACTTAAAAAAAAAGAGTTCAACTATCTCATTTTCCACCACGAAAAAATCACCCCTTTGAGAGTACATTAATAATCATCTGAACCACAAACCGAGGCTGATAGATGTACGAAAGGACACCCATTCAGGAGTTTTGCTTTCGTTTCTAATAAAAGATGGCGTAGCTTTTCAATTTGCAAAGGAATCAAGGGGAAAAAGATTAGGAAAGAATTTCTTTTAGTTACACGCACACACACACACACACACACACACACACACACTCACACTCACACTCACACTCACACTCACACTCACACTCACACTCACACACACACACACACACACACACACACACACACACACACACACACACACACACACACACACACACACACACACACACACACACACACACACATACACACACACTACACATTATATATATATATATATATATATAATATATATAGTATATATATATATATATATATATATATGTATGTATGTATGTATATATATATGCATATATAGATGTATATATATGTATATTTATAGATATATAGATATGATATGTGTATATATATATAGATATGTATATATAGATATGTATGTATATTTATAGATATTTAGATATGTATATATATACATATACATTGTGTGTGTGTGTGGTGCTCGTGGCCGTGCGTGCAAACGTGTGTGCACGAATACGTAGTCCATCATATAGCGGAACAAAACCCGACTCGAGCACAAACATGTAATCGCGGCGAACGGACAATAAGTGAAAAACGAAGAGCATAAACACAGGGAATCGACTGGCCACTTTCGCCCGGACAGGAGGCGCTCGCTCACGCCGATCCCGAGGGCGAGGGAGTCGCGATTCGCGTTATAAATTGCGTTGCTAAGTGTACCCATTTTTCTGTGTTCATGCATCGGAATTTGCTACTTATATTTTTGCTATTTTGTTGATGCTTTTTCATTGAAATTGATGTCTTTGTTGTTGTCTGATGTTCGACTGTTCTTGCGAATGTATATCTATATATTTTATATATTAGATCACTATTTTGTTATTATTATTATTATTAGCATTATTGATATTGTT